TACCTACGCAGCTAGAGATGAAAAACTGTGTAGCTATAATCATGGTAAGTACAGGAAGCACAGAAGCAAAGCCTGGGGGAGTGTGGACAGAGTGGGGGTTGCGGGTAGGGATCCACACCGAGCAAAGTGCCCCTGCAGTCGCAGACCATTTGGGGAAACTGTCTATTTGAGTGCTGGCCATTTCCTTGGCTTCTTTCAAAAGTTCAACTGTCCCAATCTCAACTACTAGTGCTACAAAAAGCTTGAAACTTCTCCCTGCAGTTTTCACTGTTGGTGTAGTTTCACTGCTGGAGGGTTTGGGGTTTTTTCTTTAGGGCTATGAGAGAGTCCAAATAGAGGGAACAACTTTACATCTTGCCGTTGTTGTTGCTGGTAATGAGGAGAGCAGAATAAGTCCAGGAACATTCCGCAAACTCTCCCATCCTTGTCAGAGTCACAGCATATAGCTTTCTTTAAGACCTAACCACAGTGAGAGGAGGCCGAGAACTTCTCCACGGCACAGACGTCACCCAAGGCTGCCTCCGATCCACTGACCCCGGGGAAATGAGGAGAATTCACTTCTCAACACCTTTGAAGGTGCAACCCATCAACTCCGTGTGGAATTTAAAGGACCTTCTCCGTATCACTTGATAAATGCTCGATGCGTTTGAATTACTCCTGTCTTATAAAAGGATGTTTTCTAATTTGCTTCTTTTCTCTTCCCCACATCCCTGGGAAGATGATGCCGGACAGAGGGACAGTCAATGACACTGGATAAATGCAGTCCCCTCAAGTGATTTGAGACAAGAAGAAAAAAATAAAACAATTTTTCCCGAGAAGCTAGCCACAACTCTTTGGAACACCAGGGTACCACAGATGATGAAAGTAGCCAGCCCCAGGGAAGAAAAAAGACTGGACCCATGTGAGCTCTCCAGATAGATTTGACATCATATCCTGAGTAAAACCAGGCTTCCTCCTCCAGCCGAAAGAGAGGGGACTGGGTACCTTGTCTCCTGCAAAAGTGCTTCCGCCTGACACAGCGCAGATAACAGCTCCCCACTTGGCAAAGCCAGCAGGCAATTTCACACCAGTCACAGCAGCTCCATGGACAGCAGGAGGGCCAAAAACAAACTCTTATGGGAAACCTCAATGTATTCATGTGAATAATGATACTGGCAGGTGAGGAATAAGCTCTGGAAAGCTAAAGAGTTTTGAATGCTGTTCTCCCCCGTGGAGTCTCCCAGCCCCGACTTACAAGAATTAACACCTTTTTAAACAGGTAACTCAAGACAAGACCTGTGACTGAACAGTGGCAATTCTCCAAGTACACTGACAGCGACATGGGAATAACATCTATAGGATGCAATTATGACAGTAGCCTGAAGGGTTAACATGGACTTTCTAAAGGATCCAATGTTGTAAAGTTAGGTGCAGGTTCAGGGCATCAGAAAAGGGGCTGCCAGAGTGTGTATGCAGCAAGATGACCCGTCATTTATTCCTTTCATCAGCTCATGAACTAGCCATTACTTTTTTTTTTTTCCATTTTGTTTCATTGTGTCTTTTTGGAATTGCTTGGTTGACGTCTTGGTCTTTAAAGTGGTTTTCAAGCAATCTTTAGAACTTTTTATTACCACTAGTCTTCATCTACATCAAGTTCCAATCCATTCGTGTCCTCGATGTGGTCATTTTCAAATACATCCACAAATTCTTTGCTATTTCTCCCTCCAAGAAATACAGCTAAATTCCTCTCCCTTGGAGGGTGGTCTGACTTGGCGACTCACTTCTGATGAGTACAAAAAGGGAGAAGTGAAGGTACGCCGTTTCCCAGACTGAAGACTGAAGAGGCACGGTGGCTGTGTCCTGGCTCTCTCCACTGGGAGGCCAGTGTCCCAGTGTCATGTCGTGAGGACACTCAAGCACCTTAAAACAAGGTAACTCAAGAATTTCTCAAAAGTGGCAAAATGGCCCTATCATCTGAGCTTCCTTGGCAGTTTGATTAAATATGAGTTCAGGTGATCGTGCCATTCCCTAAACTCATCAGTGGGCCAACTGCCCCCCTTCCCTGTGCCTTCCTCTCAAGTGATAGCCACCTATTTCAAAATCTCCTTAAGAATAGAACTGGATCTTGTGCATCTTAATACTCCCTTGCAGTGCCCAAGTAACAGGGCAACCTATAAAAGGTTTTAAAGAAATTATCGGGACTGGTTAGTATCTCAGGCCATCTCTTCTCCTTACCCAAAAGCACCCAGTAGACATGACGTCTCTGAAGCACATTATCTAGAGGCATACCTGGGAAACAGGGCAGGCCTGGTCCCCCAAATGGTGTGATGCAATGCCGTGGCTCACACAAACTTGCTGGTTTCCTGGTGCATGTAAAAGTTATGCTTGCAATATACTGTAACCTATTAAGTATGCAATAAATAGCGTTGGGTCTAAAATATGTACATGCCTTACTTTAAAAATTCTTTATTGCTAAAAAATACTAACCACCATTGAGCCTGTTGGGGAAATGGCACCAACAGACTCACTCAACACAGGGTCGCCACAAACTTCCAATTGGTGAAAAAAAAACAAAACAAAAAAAACCGCAATATCTGAGGGGCGCAATAAACCAAGGTGCAATAAAGGGGGTGCAATAATACAAGGTATGCCCACAATGACTTGTATTTTGCCAACGACAAGTTAGAGCTGAAACCTTAGCCTCCTCTTTGACTCACAACATTCTTGCCCAAATTATACTGCTGCTACCCAAAAAAAGAAAAAAGAAAAAGTTTGCTCCTTCATCGATGTTTCTAACTCTCTATCTCTCTCCCTTCCTCTCTGTAAAAAAATCAATAAAATATATTTAAAAAAAAAAAAAAGTTTGCTCCTTTATTTGACGTCTGACATATGGCTCTCACTAACAACCCATACATACACATCACAGAGGGTCACAGTCTAACAGTGGATGGTGCTATTCAAGATGAATGATGTCCCTTGTAAATGACTTCACAGTTTATGTAAGTAATGATGCTGGGAAAAATAATTGCCGTGCACAGCAATCTGACTCTGAGTGCCAAGGCACAGTTCAACGCAGAACGGTTTTGGAGACCCAGAACAACGCCGGGAGAGAGATGCCTCCGCGTGATACAACCGAAGCTTTACATCACTTCAAGGACACAGTTACATTCATGTTCTGGCACCAAAAAGCACCGCAATCCTTTACAGAAGGGGTCAGCACCCACAGCTCATGGGCCAAAAAGCTGGCCCCCGGCCCATAAGCTAAGAATGATTTTTGCATTTTCAAAGGGTTGAGGGGAGGAAAAAAAATCAAAAGAAGAATGATATTGGGTGACATGTGAAATTTATATGACATTCAAATTTCCATAGCCATAAATAAAGTTTTATTGGAGCGGTCACACGTTCATTTCAGCATCATCTGTGGTTGATGTTGCGTGATGACGACAGAACTGAGGAGCTGCGACAGAAACCGTATGTCCCCCAAGGCCCAAAAGACCTGAACCTTCACAGAAAAAGTTGGCCACCCTCCACTTCAGGGCGTGGATGCGGGGTCCTGCTGCCTCCACTCACAGCCTCCTGCTTGTTCTCCCTAGTCTGCCTGCATTTTAATCCAAACACTTATTATTATTAATTATTATTATTATGGCCTTGAACAAGTTACTTAACCACCCTGCACCTCCTTGTCCTCATCTGTAAGTGGGGTTAATAACAGTGCCTACCACATGGGGTCATTGGAAGTTATAAGTTAATAATATACACAAAGCATTTGAAACAGTACCTGGCTAAGTCACTAAGTATTAGTTAGGAAAGCTGTTACTAAGTACTAATTATAACTACTATTCCTTCTTGCTGAGAGTTGCAGGATATAAATATTTCCCAAATAAAATGCTCACCATGTGGTTAGATTTCAAACTAGCCCCGCCCCCAATCTACTTATCACGGCAGAAGTGAAGTCGGAGACAATAAGAAATGAGAGAAAAATGAAGAAAACCAGAAAGAAGAGGACTGAGGAGGGAATAAAAAGAGAAAGAACAAGTTAGAAGGACCCCACTCCGTGGGGACAGTAGGTGGCCTCTTCAAACGGGAAGTACAAATTAGGGTAATTTTATCCATAGGAGCAGACTGAATAACGCCTGCGGGCGGAATGGATCCTAATGACCACGTGGGCCCTGTTCTAGTGGGGGGAGAAAACACTGGAAATTCCAAGCTTACAAATGCACTCCTGGGTCAAGCCCGCGCTTAAGCTGAGGCTTCCTGTATTTTACATTCCTAGGCAAATGACAAGTGATAGTTGCGGTCAATCCTGCGTCTTGTTATCCACGCGGAGCAGCTAATTAAAAGGCACCGATCTGCACCAGGGTCCCGGGCAGCCGAGATGCAGAGGGGCACCGGGAGACCGGCCTTGATCCAGGGTCTCATCCTGTTCAGAACAGCACTTCCCAACGCTCAGAAAAGGCCTCGTCCCCATAAATAGAACACAAGCTCATTCCCCAAAGACGCTCCTGCACGGCAGCTGGCGGGTGCACTTCACCTGCTCCTGAGGCCGGGACATTCCCTTCTCGAGGCCTCGCTTCCATCGGAATACCTTCTCTGTGCAGAGTGGGGTCCCTACCTTCTCCATGCAGCTTTAAAAATCACACTATGTCTCTTTTCAAATTATTATTTCAAAACTCGAGAGCACTCCTTCCCCAAAACAAGGATTTTTAAACTCACAGCTCCACCATAATCAAACAATTCTCTCTCCTATTCCCTTCCACCCCGGCTCCCTGTAATCTCCGCTCCTGCTCTGGTCTGTGCTTAGAGTAAAACTTCCCTGAAGAGGCTAAACGCACACATCGAATATTTCTCAGAGACGTGGAGTATGAGCATAACATGTAAAACCTTAAGGAAAGGGAAGACAGACATTACTATGCAAGTGCTTGCTGCACACTGTGCAGAGAAAGGAGAGTAGGTTAAAGCGTGATGCATCTAAGAGAGTAATTAAGATGCCCCCGGGCCGGAGGCAAGTTCAAAACACTCACTGAGAATGTATCTGCTGGGCGAGTCCGACGGACGGCTTGGGCTTGAGGGTCAAGGTCATCTGGGCCACGGGGCTGACCCTTGGAAGGGTGTCTGCCTTCTTCGATGAAGTGTGCTTCGCCGCAGCCCCGGGACCCTGCCCTGCAAACACTGGCGATGAGGTGTCCTGGGCGGCTGTCATCTCACAGGCTTTGCCCTTGGTCCCTGGTTTGCACACACAGAGTTGAGGCCGGAGACACATCCCTCCATTCTGGCACGGTGGCACACAGCTGGCTGCAGAAGGATAACAGGAAACACATTGGAAGGAAAGCATTACAGACTTTACAAATTCTTCCGAAGGCTTAGCAGCAGCATCCATCAATAGTCACCAATAAAATGAAACCCTACTTAAAGATGTCAAGATGATGAAGGTAGTGATGGCAGCTAATGTTTATTAACATCTTTCTATGTGTCGGGCACTGTTCTACTACATATCAACAAATTTGCCCAGCTAGCATAGCTCAGTGGTTGAGTGTTGACCTATGAACCAAGAGGCCATCGTTCGATTCCCTGTCGGGGCACCTCCCTGGGTTTCGGGCTCCATCCCCAGTGTGGGGCATGCAGGAAGCAGCCAATCAACGATTCTCTCTCATCATTGATGTTTCTCTCTCTCTCTCCCTCTCCCTTCCTCTCTAAAATCAATAAAAATATTTTTTAAAAAAATTTTAATCCCCCAGCAACCGTTTTAGTAGATATTTTATTCTGCCCATTGTACTGATGAAGGAGTTCTATAGCTGCCAAAGGTCATACAATGATTAGCAGAGGGAGGATCTGGGGTTTTTATCCAAGCGAAGTGGCTGCTGAGCCATCATTCTCATCACTTTACTCTAGCTGCCTCTCAGAAATGCATCAGAAACGCGGAAAACTTATGAAAACGCTCTGCCCTTCTTTCTAAACGGTGCCCTGTGGCGTCAGTTTAAACTTTAGGCATCCAGATAAGACTTGGCAAAGGAACAAAAGCTCAAGCCCAACCACAGCCCCCTCAGAAAGTGCTCCAGACTTCATCTTGCATGAGCCACCAGAGCTCAGAGACAATCTTTCAGAAATGGGGTCCAGCCCACTTTTTTTTACGTGAGAGAAATTCAAGATTTAAGAGGTTGAGAGTCGCCCAATATACATTTTTGTGCATTCGCCAGGGCACTGTCCATCATCCCTAATTTCATAATGAAAGACAACCCAACAGAAACAGCCTGCTCACCTCCTACTTTCGAGGATGTGTGTACTTTGCATCACCAGCTTGTGGCCAAGCAGAGTTTTAGAGTCAGGAGGGCTCTTTGTCTCCGGCACAGTAAGTGGACTTTATCGGTCCCGTGGGAGGGCACATGTTACTGACATCAGTTTTATTAGGTTAATGTCACTGGCCTAAAACATCATGTCTTCAGCCCCTTCTTTATCTGTCCAAGGACAGGTGTGTCTGCCAACCTTTGGCCATCAGTGCACCTTGGACTGAAACTCTTGGTCCTGAGGGAGACAAGACTAAATCTCCCATAACATTCACTGCAAGGTTCAGTCCACAGACAATTGTGAAGTGGGTGAGGGGTAAGAGCCAGAGGAGGCTCAGTATGGAAGACGGAAAGGCCTGAAACCTACTGATTTTCTTTAAAAGAGAGATGACACCCTTCCCATCTTTCTACAATATGAGTCCTATTAGTTACAGCAAATAATGACAAGAAATGAGTGTCAAGTATCAGAACACTGAGCTGACAAATTTTCCAAAAGTTGAGAAGGCTTCTTAAAAAAGAAAAAGATAAGAAAGAGGGGGAGGGAGAGAGAGGGAGAAAGAGGGGGAGGCAGAGAGGGAGAGAGGGAGAGCGAGAGGGAGGGAGGGAGAGAGAGAGAAAGGAAGACAGATGCAGCCAGCTCCCTAGGTGACCTTGGGGCAAGTTACTTAACCTTGGCCTCTGCACCTTACATGTTTGGGGGCAGAGGGAGGGCAATAGCTGCTTATGCTAAAATGGTCCCCACGGGTCTTCCCATATGAGGCTTCTAGAATTCAGAGTCAAACAGGACGCACTTCTGGAGTTCAGGATTCTAATTTATCAGCGCTTTCCTGGCGGGTAATCATCGGGTCCCTTCTGGGCCGTGGGTATTTACGGAATGTCCCTGAATGGAAACAGGCTGCACCCGGGAGAACGGCGGGCGGCCCTGAGCGAGGACTGGACCGGCTTCCACAGCCAGCTCTGCCAGAGAGCCCCTCGGGCACATTCTCCTCATGCTTTCCATTAGAGCGCGTTTCAGTTTAGCATCTGAGAGTGATTTCCGCTTCTCCTCCCTCCCAAGGTGTAGTCTGCTAATCCCCCAGGGAGGCTGCCCAGACAGCGCAGCCTGCAGAAGCGGGTACCTGTGGAGGCCAAGGCCTAGAATCCCCCTGCCCCATCCCCCTGCCCCGCCGAGTGCCACTGAGAAGGCACAGTAAGACCTGTCCTTGGGAGGACATAGAGGGATTACAAGTGAAAAGGGGCAGAGACTGTTCTTAACACTTCAAATGCTGTATGTGGTAGGGGGACAGGGAAAGAATAATAAGAGAAAGAATGTAAACCACAAAAATTTTCTACTGGAAGAAAAAGAACGTGGTATGTAATCGTGTGACTCTGCACCAGACCTCCCTCTTGCAGTGAATTGTGAAAGGACAGTGAAAGGAGGAGGATTCGACAATTTCCTCTTCCTCCCACCCCACGAGGTTCTGGCAGCAGCCCCTTGGAGCAGGCGGGCAGAAGGGGCTGGCTCGAACTGGGGGGTTTTGGGGGGCAGATTCTCTAACTGCCAAGACAAGCCCCTCACCTGACATGAGAAGCCAAACTCATGTGCAGCAACCAGACTTCACCAAGCCCTCTCTCCTACCCTGCTTGGGCCTCAGGCGGCAGAGGTTCTCACAGGGCACTTCTCAGCGTGTGGCGCCGGGACCAGCGGCAGCGTCGCCTGGGAACACTTCCGAGGTGCCCTTTGTCGGCTGCTCCGTCCAGAGCTGGAGCCCGGCAGTCTGACCGCCCTCCCGGTGGGTCCGACGCACACTCGAGTTTGCAAACCACTGACGGACAGCATTTAGAAGCACAGGCTTCCACCAGCCGATTTTTTTGAGTATTCCTATTTTCATCATGGCAAGTTTAGTGTTTTCACACCACCCGTGCTTTCATCGCACTGAATCCTTGCTGTGATAGAAGTGTTTGTTTTATGTGGCCCTTTTACGTTGAATGCAAAAACTAAAAATAAATGTTTCATGGGACCAAATTCTCAAGATAAATATGGGTCCCTCCCAAGAGTTTAGACATATGGTCACCATCGACTTCATGGCCGGCGTAAACGTGTGCAGGCATTTATGAGAAAACTGCTATTCTGAGGTGCTGGGCTATGTGGAATATTACACATACATATTACAGAAGTACTTTGAACATGTTGTCTCCACCATTTGATTCTGCATTTTCCTGGCCAGCTGTGGGCCGGCACCATGAGTCACCATTACGTGAAGATCTTATCAGGGGGCTGGGAAGTGGGCCTCAGGCTCGCTGCACCTTAGAATCAGCTGGGAGCTTTGAAAACGCTCAGAAACCCAGGCCTGAGATGGGAGAGGGGAGAGGAGAGCGGTGAGAAGGGGGAAGGGATGGAGATGTACAAGCTGCCAGTTACGAAGACAGTTGCACAGCACGGGGAATACAGTCCATGATACTGTAATAACTACGTACGGTGTCAGATGGGTGCTAGGTTTATCAAGGTGATCCCTTTGTAAATTATATAAATGCCTGATCATCAGGTTGTGCACCAGCAGCTAATTATCACAGGTCAACTGTCACTGAAAATTCTTTTACCTTAAAAATAAAAAAAAAAAGGCCCACGCCTAAGGCCAGCAAACTGAATCAGAAGCTCTGGGGGATGGAGCTCAGGCATCAGTATCTTTACTTAGTGTTACATCTCCAAGTGACTGCAACCGGCAGCCAAGCTTGAGAACCAATCGGTCAGGGAACAAAACCCTCATCCAGACTGCGGACAGGCCAGTCTTCCTAAAATGTAGCTCTCTAGAATTTTCCCTCCTTCATTCAGCAACTTTCAGCACATTGTAGCTGCCCCTGAAATAGATCGAGACCCTCTACATCCAGCCCCACCCCACCCCCACCATCACTGGCCCCTCGCCCATCCCTGCAGAAGCTCCCCACTCACCTGCACACAGGTGACCCATCCCAAAGCAGGGCCCTTGGAGTTCTGCTCTTCTGAAACCACCCCCTTTCTATGAGGTCTTTCCCAAACGCCCCCCACCCACTGTGATCTTTATATCACCTGAACTTGTGTCCCATTTCATCATTCACTTCACATTTCATATGTGCTTTTACTCATTATTAAGCATCTTTTAACATGGCTCTCATTGCCCAACTGGATTCTAAACTGTGCAGTCAGACCATTGGCTTCTGCATAACTTATATACCCAAGGACAGGAGCCTGAACTTCACCTTGGTTGAATGACTGATATGAATGTAGAGACCCTCCTTTGCTAAGGATGCTGGGATGTCAGGACATCTGTAAAGGGAAGGTAACCAACCAATGGGCTCTTAATGCACTCCATAATAACACCCGCACCTCCAGACCTAGTTTGCATGTTGTTGGATCAAAGAGTCTCCAAACCCTCCAAGATGTTTTAAAATCACAATTATGTTACAATGTACTCTGCTCATGTATAAGGAAGGTCTGTAGTGGCATTTCACAGTATGCTTGTTAAAGAAAGTTCCAGAAGCTCAGGCCCCGTGGGTTCTAGAAGAACTCTGAAGGGGGGTCATTCTGAAACAACTGGTCAAGGATTGACAGAAGAGAATATAGCAATGGGCTGGGGGAGCGGTGACAAGCTACTGAACTTCCAGCACAAACACACATAAAGGGAATTCGCCCAAGAAGCTCAAGTGCAGTAGAAACAAGAAGAGCTTCTGAGAGAGACTCCGTTTGTGAAAGGACATGCAGAGGGGGTCCCAACTCATGAAGCAGATAATCCAATGAAAGGACGCAAGATAAGCACGTTGAGTTCACCCTCTACCTACCCCCTCCGTTCCAAACACAACAGCGATTCTGAAAGGTGTTTGTTTTTAGGTTAAAAAGCCAGGTTTCCACGGTTGGCCAGGCTGGAATAACTGTTACCAAACAAGCCCTTTTTCCATAAACAACTAAAAGCATGGGTGTAAGATACAAAACAGCTGTGGTCGAGCCCAAGACAACTAGCAAGTGAGGACAGTGAACCCTGAGAGAAGGAAACCAAA